TTTTTTTTCAACCATTTAGTAGAAGGTCTGGACTATCGGCCAGTACACCCACGTGCGTATTTTTGGATTTAGGGCGACGGGATTGCGGAGCTCGTGATAAGAAAAGAAGTTTTTTATTTGTGAACAATAAAGTTTATGCACAACATAAGACTTAGAATATGAAGTTTGCACCATGGACAGTAAGCTATCTACAAAATATGTTACGATTTTCGGACGTATAGGCTCAGAGACGGCCGTAGCAGCGAAAAAGTTGCGTGAGATAGTTGGAATACTTTTTGGCTCTGGCAGCATGCAGTTCCTTGAATCCATCTCGCTGGGGTCCAGCTGGCAGATCCTCATCAGGTAGACATCTGTAAAGGATTTAGGTCATTTTCCGATGAAGCTTTCCATAAGGAACACTGACAATAACGATTTCACTGACATGTTGTCTCTCTCACAATGTGTGCCAAAGTCATGAGCAAGTTGGTTCAGCTCCAAAGACGATTTTGTTTTGCACGTTTGTCTCCTCGTACGAATTGGATATGGTGCGTCAAAATGCTCGCTTTCCGGTCGAATCTGGAACTGCTCACCTCAAGCCATTTCAAGAAGAGTAGGGTCAAACCATAGAACCGAATGACGTCTATTGGCGACTACCAATGNAACTCTCCCTTCAATTTCCCACGTTGTGAAATACGAATCTTCACTTTGTTTGATTGAATACTCGTATGTGAACTTACTGGGAGATATGTGTGCGCAGGGGTTTAGGCCGCTACGCTCGTTCCTGCCATGGTGTCACGGTATCCTCTTCTCCTGTAAGCCCTTTCGGTGTCCGCATGGTACACACGACGATTAACTACGACGAGTTACTACGGAGAAATTCTCTTTTCGAAACGGCGATGCGAATGCTGTCGACCTACACACCTCGGTAACTAACAAGTAAGGTCTTTCAGGGCGTGGGAGGTGGCAGCATAAAATGCAAAAATGCCAAAGCCCCGGGAACCCGAACCAACAACCTAGTCTAGCCATCCCAATTCGAAGTCCACATCGCTATCTACCACACCATCCGTCGCTGCCAACAGCCCAACCGTGGAGAGCACATATGAAAATTCCTCGCACTTTTCATCATGTGGCTCCCTTTTTTGGCTACCGTTCCACTGTTTTCAATGTCGCCTCCACTGGCCCCTTCTACTGTGCGGACAGTCAACGCCATGACTGAAACGAACGACGCTTAGTGGGTTAAAAGGGCAATTACAAGCAGCAAACGGCAGCCTATGTACAATTCAGTGCTTTCTATCCTTCCGTACGAGTTCTGGCAACAACTTGTCGTCGCGGGTCGCGGGAGGGATGGAAAGCTTGGTTGCGTTCTAGCGTTCTTCATACAGCTCAATTGTTATGCGATCATTATTTTATGTATAATTCTACTATTAGTACATTTGTTCTTGTATTTCTTACCTACTGCTGCATCCTGCTACATTNCTTCGCGCGCGGCGCCCTTCTCACCGCGACGCGGCCATTTCGTTCCTAACGCAGCACACCCTCGCTGGGGTAGATTCAATTGTGTCAAACATCTTATTGGCTATACTGCGACAGCAATAAGTATCAAGTGAAAAATTCATGAAAGTGCCCTCCAAGCTTATAGGAAAAACGATTTTCCGTTCCTCGGGAAAAGGAAACCCTCGGGAACCGAAGTACCCGAGTTTAGGATACTTCATTTCACGAGGATTTCCAGGAAACCCACTCTGCCTGGCTGTCCGACCAGTAAGAACTCACTTACAGGACTACATGTTTACCTGGAGTGATCCTCTGGGCCCTTCCTTTCGTCGGCTATGAATAACGGCTCCCATCTACGGCGACGATAACGTGAATATAGCTGACACAAATATGGTGCAAGTGTGGGTACGAGTCCATGGTTGGAAATAACCTTTTTCCTTGCTGTGTGTCAGAATGAGATGAAGAAAAGTTTTTCACATACATAGTGAGGAATCGACATCCTTCGACAATCATGTGACGCTGGCTTTTGTGATCTTTACCTCTGCAAAAGTTCAGAGAAGAGCGACCCCTCACGGACTTGCTTCTTCTCTTCGAGAGTAGCAGTTCCTGTAAAAACTTTAGCCACCCGTCATATAGACGACAGCGGTAGGCCACTGGGCAAGCAGACGAGGTTGCTTGTGGAACTGATGGTACGCGATCGCAGGGACGCGAATGCGACTAGCGGTGAAGGGTGATTGGCGACTGCAAATCGTTCCCGTACTGAATTTCATTTTTGATTTGGGCTTCTATATTTCAGAGTCCATCCATAGTGCAAGGTATCACTAATTGCAAATTTTAACATTTCTCACCATTTCTTCGACAGATTCTTCTTCCTTGTAGTCTGTAGTGACTAGTTTTGGAACACTCCTCACTGAAAAAAATAGTTATGAAGCTAGTGGTAACGCAGCGCTTTGTATTATCTGGAAAATGTGGTAATTAGATTTTCTTGATTTCTGTGTTGTAATCTTTACTATATATATCGCGCTCGTGTCTCTCTGTCTGTCCGCCTGGCTCGCCATAAAGAAATTTGAGATTATCTCAAAAAACGAGTGGGGGCGTCGGGTCAAGTTTGAACTGAGCTGAGCATAGGGTAAGACCGACAGAGCACATGTAGGCCTAGCGGAATTCCGCCCACAGAGGGCAGGGCATGAGCGGTGACGTGGACAAAGCCCCCTAGTTTGGTCTTGTAACAATCCAGACGCCGGAAAAAAGAACAAAAGTGAGGGATGGGTCGACAAATGAAGGAAACTCATAGGGCCCTAGGCGTGCTGGGCATTCGTAAACTTAGCAAAGCTTTGCTCACGATGGGCGAGGCATGCATCCAAATGGAATGTACTTTTTGAAAAATTGTATATTTAATTTGTTCAGAAACGTTCTGAAATGCTGGAAAAAGTGCTTGGAGGTAATAGGAGGTCAAATCCCCGAAGTGGGCGGGGTTTGCACTAAGGTGGGCAGGGCTTTAACGAAAAATCTATTCCTCTGTTCTAAAGCGTCCTTGAGCGCAAAAAAATCGTTATATGCCGCTGGAAGCAGGATGGCCACAGGGGACGGAACATGTATACATAGGAATGGGCGGCGCAATGAGATGATCTCATAATTCTGTTACAGAAAAGCGCAAACATAAAAAAAGGCAAAGGTTAGGGTAACAAGACGAATGAGACTCATCCGCGGTAATCACGGCGTCTTCGCCTTTCTGCGTGAACTAGACGCAGCCTTTAACCGGATTCCCTAGGGGGATTTCAGATTAAAAAATAACGGTTTGATTGATCCTTGACGCACGCAGTAGAGTGCGGAGCCCAACTGGTGAAACGAATTAAGCTCTTCGAAACAGTTCTGATCGCGGAGAGCATTCGGATCCTAATAACACGATTGAATCTAGTTGAAGTGGCTTTTTCTCTCCTTGGACCGTTTCAGTATAGAATAATGAGCGTTAAGCGTGGAGCGTTGAAACCTCGTTGAAATCCGTGCCGCCGACTGACGTTGTCAACAAAGTGCGCTCAACGCTCGACGCTTTACTCTGAATGATGCTCTTTCCTCAAGCCGAGGATTGAATGCTCAACAAATAAGTCGCAAGTCAATTCCGAAGCATGAAGTACGTTTTTGTTCTGTAGATATCGTGTGGTCAGTGTTGCTGGCTGAAGTGCTGTACAGAAATTAGGTGTNCTATATAGCTTACTATATGGAGCACTCAATTTAGAACTAACGGTAAGAAAGTTTCGCTCAATGAATTGAATGTGTCCTTCATTGATACTGGTTTCTGAGATATTAGTTACTAGACTAGCTTTTATAAGTATTCGAAATAACTGCTCACGATATCGTCTTCTTGAATTCGATGCAGTTGTCCTGCACTTTGCCACAGCCTGAAAACACATCGCCTAGACAACTGTCACTACGGGGTCATGGAAAACAGGCATTTGAGGGTCGAATCGAGGGGAAGTCGAATCTTCAGCATCATCAACCTCACCACAACTCAGACTTCCTCAGTGGATCACTACAATTTGTTTAAGAGACAAAAACGTTTCTTCTGACGAATACTTTCGGAAAACACTTGAAAAGAAGCATCTTTCCTTTTATTACCCTTTGAACTTCTAAGTCACTCGCTTCATACTTGATTTACTGCTTCCCTTTCTTTCTATTCAGGTGTAATGAATTATAGGTATCATCGTCGTGATGGTGTTCTTCAAACTAAGGACATCGACAAACGCGCAGGCCCTATGCCGGAAGGTTAGCGCATTCATATTCAAATGCCAACGCCTTTCCTTTGATTAAGCCCACCTTACAACGGAGCAATTCATCCTGAGTTCTTCAAAACCTATCTAACAAATCGCACTATTGCTACGAAGGTTTCAGGGCCGTTGAAGACGCTGCTGATGCCGCGAGTTTGCAAAGGTTACTGAACCAACTTATAAGGTAGGTTATTTCTACCAGAGACTCTCTACTCAGCAGAACGTGGTGAAGTGGTTAAGGCCTCTCATTAGGTTAATCCGGAATCTGCGAGAACTGTGAACATATCAATCCATCAAGATTACTTGGTTAGCCGTGCTGCGACTTCTATTTTCTGCGACGAATGGAAGTATGGCTCATCATACTGTTACTCTGTATATCCTTTGCTATATGTTCCCATACCTCAATGGTTATGATCGGGGTGTAAGTCTACCGACCCTCCAGCAAATGCGCGGATTTTCCTCGCGTGGTGGGAGACTTACTTACGCGACGAGTGTCGCAAAGGATTCATTCTGTTTCCCACATTTGCCACTTTCCACGCTTGGATTATTCGTAGTTTGATGTGTATTTTAAGCTTTAGTACTTCATTTTAGACTTTAGGAACAGTATCGTTTAAAAGTTTTGTGTTGTTCCCCATACAACTGGGAAGAAAAGCTCTTAAGAAACGACTCTATTAAATTGCACAATTGAATAAAAACTCAGGTGACCTCGTAGATGAATCACAAGCCCTCTCTTCATTTACCTCCTTATAGCGATCCGAGAGTTTTGAAAATTCTTTCCAAGCATTTTCAACGTCATCTTTGTTGGTACATTGGGGCTCGTTGTTGCTTGCCAATTTGCAGTCCCTTTCCAATTGCTTCAAACGCTTGTCCGTCGCCATTCTCAGTATGGTATCGGGTGAGCACTGGAAAAAGTGCGATCGAGATAAGAATCAAGTTCGAAACGTAAGGTATCAAAAGCTTTACTCACTTGGAATGCAGTGACAGTAACGACGAAGGCGTTAATCAGGAGAATCAGTTGCATACTAGATTGCCCTGAAAACTAATGTGGCTATCTCCGGCATGGGTCAGGATGCGCCAACTCGACCGCAGCGTTTGTGACGATCGGTTTCGACTAGGCGGACGTGACGGCACGTAGTGACCAGCATAATGGCTGCCTTGTTGAAAATGAGCACAATGATGTCGAAGATAAAGCATAATAGGTGGAACCACCATCAATCTGATCCGAAACAGGTGGCCGACGTCAATGATCTTTCGCAATTGAAGCTGATATCGTACAAGTTCAATGTCTTACAAAGAAAACCGCGCGTTAACCCAGGATCTTCTCCAACTGGGCTGTAACTGCTTTAGTAAGGCCTCCCATTCAAGTGATTATATCTTGTAAGTGAGTAGACATCGTGTAGGTTTCTTCTGAGTGAACTCGGTAATTTTATCGATCTCTGGTTTGCGCTGTATATGCTCGTACCTCCTAGGGGCTTAAATATATGTAGTTATCTCGGTTTTTATGGGAGACATCGCACTAAGCCAGTGCACTATGCGGAAGGTATAGAGGAACAGGTATTGCCTGGCTACTTTTCTAGACAGTTCCACACCTACTAGGAAAGTATCGGTTTGATAAGTATTCGAGAAGATAATTATTTTATCTTGTATCCTGTATGGATCACTCTTGGATTCTAAAAGCATCATTTGTGAGACCGACGACTGCATCTGGATCGAAGGGAAATTGGATATAAGAGTCAGCTTTTGCTACAAAGGCATAATTGGACGGATATAATCGAGCCTTCATTGTGAGAGAATGGTCAAAGTCCTTACGAGCTACACTTTGTTCAAAAAAAAAACGAAAATTTATGGAATAAGGTTGACAGGGAGCAAATGAAATGATGGAGGTTTTCCAGAAGCGAGTTTAAAGAGCATCGTATAACTGGGCATGATTAAAGCGATTAGTCGCACGTGGCCAAATTGAGCAAGGTTTTTCTTCTGCAAGTCGCGAGCGATCAAGAAAAACATTGCAGTTTAGCCTTTTTTCTCAGCACAGAAGTTCTTCTGAACAGACACCCAAAATGCTCTGTCCCAGAATACTTACTAAAACGAATGCAAGCACTTTGCTTGAGCTGAAGAAAGTTACGTATTTAAGAAGAATATAGCTTTTCGATGCGATCGAAGACATGTCGGTGGTTTGCTGTCGATCGGGATGACGGATGTTTTTGCTGTCGGTGACTGATTGCTCATCGCATCCTGCTCCAATCCGTGTCTGTGGTATTGTCATGTTTTGGTTTAGTTCAGATTTTCAGATACTTCGAAAGCAGAACAAGCTGGGGTCAAACTATTTTAAGGACATGCCATTTGTTTTGTTTCATTTTGGGAAACACAGTTAATGGCACAGTTTACTACATGAAAGGTTGCTGAGTTTTCCCCAAGATCGGCTTGTGCCTCCAAGATAACACGTGGAATAATTTCGGGTCAAAAAACAACCTCTACTGGGTGTTTCAAAGGCTCCAAATCAGGCTTGGATGACGTACGCACCCGAAAGTGGATGTGTTATGGCGGCCCTTTCAAGGCTGTACGATTCACAGTGAAGTGTTAGGGCGCTGATGAATAGTATGCTTATGTGCGAGCCGCCCAGACGACTACAGCCACATAATCTCGTACAGCCCCGCTACTTTTTCAGAGTCATATTTTTCCTGCTCTGTAACTTATCCAAATCAAACAATGTTTTCTAGGCTAGCCGGATTCTAGAAGCTTCGCTTTCATAATCTACTAGATCTACTATTCCAGCCAGTGCGGCGAATGCTGGATTTTGCCGGTGCATTCTGCTTTGTGGAAGCGAATTAACTGTGCTTTGCATTGATATTCCGTTTAGATACATTAGAATAGGACCGCCTCGTTCAGTCGACGTTTCGAACAAACCGTAGTTTTTGCGAGAGCGGTTCGGAACTCCTGATCTGTTGTTTTGACTCTCAACCAAGTCAGTGTAGCTCTAATGCATCGCATGGAAGACTTCCCAAGACGTCGGGCGTAGTTAGAACAGCAGTACAAAGCAAGCCACGGGCGCGTGGATCAAATGAGAAATGATTCGACAGATTTAATAAAGCAATTTATTCGAAATACAGCATAATGCAATGATATTGGTAGAAACGCAGGTCCTTCACAAAATGTATATACTGAGTAGAAGCGTGGTGAAACAAGGAGTTTAAAGCAATCCCATTATTCTCTAAGAGAGGCGACCATAGCAAAGCGAGAGTTGCGTTAGATAGGCAGAGTACTTTTTAGCTCGAGATCCGTGCAATTCTTTGAAGCGATCACGTTGTGGGCCTTCTGGCAGATCCTCTTCGGGTAGGCATCTGGAAAAGGTACTGGGTTCAGCTAAATGCTGCAAATATATGATGGCAAACTCAGCTAACAAAGGATTAAATCTTTGACGTTAATCATTACCGTTTTAGAGTACGCCATGACATTGGTCTTCTACTATTCAGGTCTCCGGTAAGGTGTCCTATACAATGATGTACAAGCAGTGTTTTTATCCTAAGAGACGAGACTGGACTGGTACCAGTTGACTGAACCCGTGTGGAAGGAAGCTTTGGAAATCCTGAGCCAGAAGTAATCCAGGACTCGTTCCCGAAACCGTTCAGATGACTGATGGTGCGCCTCTTGCCAATACACCACAATCTCAGTCAGTAATAGGAATAGACGTATACTCGGTAGTAACGTCGAATGTGATGTCAATAAATTCAAATTGCCGAAGGGCAGCTTAACATGAAAGTTGAAACTCAAAGATGACAAGAATGACTGTCTAGTAGTAGCGCTCATTTACCTAGTTGGAAAGTTCTGATATGCTCAATAATGGGGCATGGCTAGGGGTCCCATGCATGAATTACCTTCATATACCTTTCGACTTGGAGTATGATCATAATTCTGCTGAGAAATCATTAGAATAGGCTGTGACGCTGTGAGAAGTCTCTCAGTCTGTCGAGTACTAGATCTAATTTTGGTATAACGATCTCCACTTACATGTTGTCCCTCTCACAGTGCAAACTGAAGTCTTGCGCAAGTTGGTTTAATTCTTGAGAGGCTTTCGTCTTGCAGACCTGCCTTTTCACTCGGATCGCATGAGCTACGTCAAACTGTTCACTTTCGGGTCGTACCTGAAGTGGTCTCAGTAAAGGGTTAGTCCTAATAATCCTTTCTAAAAATTGACAATTCATCAAAAAGGAAGAAGTAGCTCCCGATCCTGGTGCTTCATGCTATCGCTTACGCCCTCTATAGAGTGCACTAAAATGAATTTTCTATTTTCTTTCTATCTTACGACTACAAGAAACTATCAGAATATACAAGTCTGAAGAATCAAAATTGTAGATATTAAAGAAGTAAAAATAAAATAACAAGAAATGAGGTTCATAACGAGTTTTTAGAAGTCATGTTCCTTTCGAAGATATAATCGTGAACAGACTGTGCAGTTGTACATCCTTAGTAAAAGGATGGTCAGACACCAAATAATTCCAAACCGCTGATAAAGCCTTTACAAGTGGTTACAGAGCACCTCTNAAAAAATGTAAAGTTCTTGGTGTCAATCAATACTGCCTGTGGGATGCCCCCCTCCCCCTCCCCCACTCGACTTCCCACGAATCACAGTGCCGTAATGAGAGCGTATGTGGCCTATACAATGACTTGCGGTGGCCAGCTGATGTACAAGTCAGTGCTTTTATCCTCCCAGACGAATGGCACCAATTGACCGACCCCGGAGAGATGGAAGGCTTGGCTGGCCTAGGCGGATATAGATCCGGGATTCGAACCCCTGACCATGCGAGTGGGATAGCGCTCCTGGATCGATATTCACTTGCCCATGATGGATGTCATACTTTTTGACATTTGGTTCGTACTTTCTTAATTGAACTAATACCTTCGATTCAATCGATTGCTCCTTTCTACGATGGGCAATGTGGCGCTTTTGGTGAGCTCGTCCTGAATTAGTAAATATCAGTTGGAAATAATCTACAGAAAAGAAGATCTGTTGCTCGTTCCGGACATTTCCGGGACTTACTGTTGGCCATTAGAGCACTGTTAACGATAAAAGCGGTTTCTGAGTATCTTTTTCTATGATGAACCAAAGATTCTCAAGGACGTTATCGATCGGAAAACCGCCTAGCTGACGTTCACACCCAAAACCGGACAAGGAGACTCTAGAGGTTGCACTATGACCGGTTCGGAGGCAGCTTACAGAAGACAACGTATAGCTCACATATCTGGGCAACTCGTCCAAATATCCATTCCGCGCAACTTCCGTCGTCACCCCTCGTCTAACACCTAATTTGACTAATTTTGTAAAACTAATATTTCTCTAAATACGACGATTTTCGCTTTGCACCATACTGAATATTACTTTCACTATTAGTCTTCGGCAAGATACCCCAAAACTATCGCAAACTCGCAGTGCTGTTCCTTGAACTAATGGTGAACTGTGCATCGACAAGCTTTACTATCCCTACCTTAGATTGTCCCTTGATGTAGTGTAAGGGAAGTGGGGACAAAGGAAACTCGGCAGTCATTTACGAAAATGCAGAAATACGCCACCGATGGGCAAATTAAGCTTTGTTACTACTGGAATATATCTCAAGGAAAAAAAGATAATAGAAGAACGCATATACTTCTATTCCGAATTGCCGCCTATGTGGAGTGGCCTTATATGATGACTTTAATTGGCTAACCGTTGTGAAAATCAGTGCTTCATCCTACTGGACGAGTCTGGTACTATCGACCATAGAGGGTGGGAGTACTCGGCTGACTAAATCAGGTATCGGTGTAGCATCCGATCCAGGGTCATCCGGGATCGAATCCTGGACCGATACCTGATCGCGGGTGAGTTGGATGTGTACTACTTGCCAATACAACCAACGCCTTCGCTGGGGAAACGAATGTATTATCAAATGCGCGAAAGAGATTGTACGCAAGGAAGAGTATATTGGGGTTCTAAGATCATCAGTGAAAGGAATTGGAGCTCCCTACGAGTCTCCAACACCTCAGTGGGTGTAGGAGACTCGGCTATTGAGGAGGTCATGAAGGCAGTAATGCCCGATAACGGTGAAACAACATTGGGATTACGATGGGTAGCAATTCATGCTCACCGAAACAAACTTTGGAAATCTCTTAGATTTGCTGAGATCATTTTTAACATCAGCACGGACTGTGATGTGTGATGTGTGGTGTAGCAATCAGCAACATTGCACGTGCTCGTTCTGTTGGTTTTGAGAGATACGGTTCGTTTCGTTGATTTCCCAGACGTATCTTATCGCTATTGCTGGCAAAATTCTTCTGTTACGTCAAAGGTGTTACTGAACCCCGAGACAATCAAAATGAGTTTAATAGACGTCATCATATTCTTTATCTTTTAGACTTACGATCACCATCCAAGGTAAGTTGGGTTTCGCAGACCTGGTTTTTTGTGAGCAGTTCAGCAGACTGAGGAGAACCAACGTATTTGAGAGTGCAATTTACCAGAAAGATGTAAAAAAATCATTTTCTCAGTGCAAGTTTCACTTATTGAGCTTCTCATTCTAGAAGTTGTTGGTTTCCCATCTCTCTTCTCGACTTCTTAAATTCCCTCGGACAGGTTTGAATAGTTTTTTGACGGCTAGTCTTTTGAATGATTTTGGATTTCTTTGGGACACCGAAGAAGAAAACACCGAAATATCAGCCGTATGAACTAGTTTCTATAGATTTCTATTGTCATTTTCAAAGTAAAGTCTACACCGACAAAGAAAAGAGCTCAGAATATCAGAGAGACCCACATTGGTTCCATGGACATTGTTCAGAATGCAGAAAATATTATCACTAGAATAGTTGGGTGATCGGATCGGAAACAAACTGGTCTCAAATGAGAAATTATGTTGCTTACGGCAGTTCACTCGTAGGCGTAGACTTTATGACAGTGATCAAAATTAAGAGCTCTGCATTTGCATGTGACAAGATCCCAGACCACAGGCCATGTTCAAGCCAATTGGAACATTCCTATGGATTCGGCACACTGGGAAAAAATGATTCCAGGGCAATCAGGAAATGAATCTCTTGCTTCTCGAATTATTTTAGTGAATCTATGAGAGCTAGGGACAAGGGATAGACCTTCAGATGCACTCTTCTATGCTGACACAACGTCACAACCCAGGCAGCGATTTCCCCAGTTAGCGCCTAATTTGTTGCTGCACTTTTGAACTAATCAGTCTCATAGTGATTAATTATACGCTTGGACGTCGAGATGATGTTACAGAGCCATTTTGAGGCCCAACTGTCAGAAATGGTGTTGCTGAATGAATTGTACCTTCACTACGAAGTTCCTATACAGTTTCCGTTGCGACAATACTCCTGTTACTTATAACTTAGAAGGTAGATTTTCTGCAAAATTAGGTCATCACATGATGTGTCCTAACAGTGTTGTTTTTGTAGGTTGACCTCCCAAACATTCTAAGAATTGGAAGAAGCCAATGTGTTGCAGAGAACCTAAGATGACCTTTTACACCACTTTTAATTTTTTCGCTTTTAATTTTAATTTTCTCGCATAGTCTTCGTTTCCGGTTTCCAGGTAAAGATGAAGCTTTACGATATAAGTCTAATGAAAATCAAAAAAATTTCCAAACTGACGTTGAATTGATTTCGCAGCAGTTTCTCGGCACTGGGCTACAGCCTGAAACGACCTCAAATTCCGGATGGTTAGGATACCCATTTAATTGTTCAGCTACAAGTTAATCTCAAACTTACCTCCTTGTATTGGTCTTCAAGCTTCGTGAAGTCATCCCAAGCTTTTTCCAAAGCACTTTTCGTCTCACATTCTGGCTCGCCAGTCTTTGCAAGATGGCACTCCCTTTCTATTTGTTTCGCTCGTTTATCGGTCGCCATTCTCAAAATGGTGTCCGGTGAGCACTAAAGCCGTTGAGCCATGAAGGTCACAGGTTGAAACGACACAAGCAGCATTGGTTTATAAACGAGTAAGCTTACTTGGAAAGCGACGGCAACATCCGCCAAAACAACAAGAAGTAAAGCGACAGCGAACATGTTCTGCAGCACTGCAAAGAGAGCTGAATTCATGTTTCAAGGCAAAAACTCGAGTTATTCAAGCAGAGCGAACGTTAGATGAGAGATGCAATTAAGAAACCTCTCGAGCGTGATTCGGGTGAACTCTATGGATAGAATACACGGATGGAACAGCTCGAGCCAGCATCGGAGTAAAATAGGCTGAGCGTAAGCGTAAAATAAAAGTGTCGGCGAGACATTGGCTGTGAGCCTTGCAGCGCACTTATGTAGTCTACTGAACTGCCGGAATCGACATGCAACTCCAGCTTTCTTCGGAAAGAACTCTAGGGTACAGATGTTTCCTTGCAAGCCATAACGGTTGCTCGATGTTCGGATGACCTGCGAGCCAGGGCATTGCGTGGACTCCTCAATTGAAGTAGAGCGGTCGAGCAGGTTATCCTTCACCCATTTAATCAGTAGGTAGTTATGTTTTCAAAGGCGACATGGAACTGGCTCAGGCCAATACGATCAAATATTCCTATGCGATACAACCCCCTTACCCCAGTCCATGCACTATTCGAAGCAAAGCTGCGACTACTAGCTGTGAAGATGGTGCCGGAGTTGGGTAGAGAAGGATATACATCTTCATTATAGCTGTTCAGAGAAGCCCTTTACTATATACCGCCCTTATACCGAAAATAATCAAGTATGACCCTCTTCGTCGGAGAAACCTGGGACGACCCGCTGGGTCCTTGTAAAAAGGCAGTAAAGGAAAATGGGGGGATTTAAGCTGTAGATTGGTTGGACTCTTTAACCTTCTTAAAGTGTCTTGCTCTATTCATAACTTCTCCTATAGGGAGAAAAAGCCGGAAACCACAATTGCAATGGCCATGACCCCCTCGCTGTTCTATTTGATGTCAAAGTTATACCAGAGCTGTACACTTGTCATCAGTCCAATCAACCAAACAGTCATCATCAATAAGACCAAGTCACCGGCAAAACAATCACTTCCACGGGTAGGCATAGTNGGTAGGCAATTAGCCAGTCTTCTTATCGATACAGTATGCATCAAACAAGGAAGTAGTGGAAGTGATTTGATTAGAATTCAACAAAAGCCACATAACAATCGCAGAAAAGCGGAAGTGAAACAAGATACGAGGCGAGTCGAACATGGGTAATATAGTAGGCAGCAGTAAACAGGTCCCTCTCACAGAGTGAATATCACTAAACTGAAACACGTTGTTTACCGTTGCTAATTCTTAACTATGTAATTAGTAGTTGCAGAACGAAAATCACCAAGACAATATGAGTTCTCATAATCGCAACACAGCCCTCAGAATCACGTGTAGCCGTGCTCCATAACATGCTCACGTGCTCTTTTCCACTAACAAGTCTCAGCCATTGTAGGTATCCTCAGCTAATTATAAAAATCATTGGCCATGTCGTGATATCATCACAATTGAGTCATATTGTCGACACGCAAAACTACAGCAGCCCTAATTACTTTGAAGGTCATTGTATCAAAATTCTCGAAAATTTTCAAACTCAAAGTAGTGTCCATGTGCGACTGTCGATGAATCTCGGCATTCTTCCTTTAATTTTNTTTAAGCTGTATAACCGAGATATGAACAAGCTTTATTAGGCTGACGTTTCGGTGCTTTCACCTTCCTCGGAGCCTGGAAAGACAAACTCAAATACTGTATCAACATATGTTAATAATCATTTTTCAATATATTAAGTTGTGAACTGTGGTCTGAACTCGTCTAGCAAAGGGCTCAAAGACCGAATGGCAGAAATACGACGACTAGGCTGCTGGAATTACAAAAAGTGTATGAAACGTATTATTCTACTTGACGAAAACCTTGTAAGGAATTGCTCAATAACACGGGGACCTACAAATACGATTTGTTACTGAGTAATGCACACCATTCATACTTGTTGTACATTCAAGATTAAGCATCGAACGGATACTAAATGGTGTGAATATGTGATTTTCGGCACATTGCGAGGATGATGCTGCACTTTATTCTTTACAGAATGACTCGGTCCCATGCCCAAATATTCCAAAGGAAGAAAATTGCAAAAAACCGAGGAAACAGGAATGTTTTTGTCGTTGACCAGACTTGTTTTTGAGTAGCGCCCACATATTTCTCTTCCCCTCGGATTCATAATGGCGTTTGAATGCGTACCTAGACTATGCAGTGACTTGCAAGAGCTAGTCGTCCTAGATCTCGGCGTTTTTATCATAAGCACTCTCTTATGAACTTGATACCTAATGGCCGTACAAGAAGAATGGAGGGCTCTATTGAACTAGCAGGTCTCGAGTCGGGATTTCATCCTCACATCATGCACGCGGCAACGTAGCTACCTGGCAACACCCCCACCCCCTTCCCTCCCATTAATTCACTGTTCGTAGCAGAAAAAATGTGGCAAAACAAAGGTTGCAGTGTAAATCAACAGCCCACAGGTGACACCTAAAGGGCACCGTAATTGCCTTTCGCATTTCTTTTATTAGCGTGTACTCCGGCACCAGACATCATGGTTTGTTTGAAAGTAGTGAAAAAATGTCGAGGACCAGCAAAATTATGAAGTAAATGTATTACAAACAAAGACATTACTTGCTGAATTATAACTAGAAAATAGGGATTGAAACGTGTCCTGGACTTGGCCGGGAAATTTCTGCTTGGTCACTTACTCCCTGAATAATCCCTACAGAATATTAGGTGCGACTACATTTTCCGCAGATGTCCTTGTAAGGGACATTGGAGGGAGGTTGTGCGATGGCAGGGGACGCTCACATGGATCAGCCCTCTTCTAAACAAACAACACCATTCATTATACTATTGACGTTTGTTTTCCATTACACGACGGCGAGTGGGATGATTTAAACAATGTCTAGCACTATGTATAAGCTAAAAACGCGTCGAAGGACCTTCACGATCTTCATGCTTTGCTCATGACCAGTCGTGAGCACCTATTTTTACAAGCAATCGTTAGATTCAAGACGCTTATTCACATCTTTATCTGTCGTTGCCCAAGAAGAACATTGGAGGGCATGAACCGGCCAAGTATGAAAAGGCAGTGGGTCTGGATTTTGATTTCTGGGCAAATATTCAACTATGAGTTGAAGGAAGAACCACCTCACGCAAAATAAAGCCATAGCCTCGCAAATAAAAATGAAAAACGTAGTGTGAAGGTAAATACGTTAACGTCCAATTCTCAGGGAGAACATTCCCTAAGCAGAAGGTAGCATAAACGAGTTTTGCGCCTATGGGAATATGTAGTTGATGCAAACGAGTATACTGCCCATATTTGTTTTCACTAAATTCGAGAAGGAGAGGAGTTTGTCTACTGGAGAGCCAAAGCGCGGCACAGGACACTTAAGACCTTGGGGTAGTGAGGCCGGTAAAGGACAGACACGATGCAGTTTTGAGGAAGCAGGGTCCGGCACAGGTGGAATGAATAATTCGACAGACTCCCATACAAAGAGTTCCATCGAGAGAACAGCCTCCAGGTAGAGCCTCCAGGTAGGGGCTGGCCTCATCGCACTCTGGACGTGGTCCGTCGAGCAGCAGCGAAGATGAATGTAAGGAAGCAGCTGGTGCGGATGAGGCCCCACTCGAGAGACATGGAACACGCTCAGCGAGCTCGGGATTAAGTAGCTAACTCGATTCCTAAACATTGCGATTAGGAAGAACCCCAGTTGCCTGAAGGAGCACTGCTTTAGTTCCCATCTTCATGTTGAATAGGGGCGTGATGAAGTGTTCTAACTGCGGGAACATCAGGTCGGCTGTTTACACGATGAGACTGTGCGAGCCGCTAGTCGACTAAATATTGAAGGGACTTAACCCGATCTCGCAGGAGCAGTTCGGCTGCTGCAAGGAATACTGCGACAGTACAGACATGCACTAAGAAGATCACGGTGCCATCCTGTGAGGGAGGGAAAGAGCCTCGAGGAAAACATCCACAAGGAGTTCCACAGAAGAAGTGGTAGGAGGTGACTAAGAAGAACCTCGCCGAAACTTAAGTAACGGCAGAAGATGCCATAGATAGAAGTAAGTGAAGGCGTCTGACAACAGCAGTGGAAACTGCGACGGCGCGGGATTAACGCTAAGAATGAGATTCGTCATGAGTAAGTTCCTGACTTCGTGAAGCTTCGTAAAAATGTGAGCTGAACAGGTTGTATATACAAAATACAGCTCTAATATCATTAGCAAAAAATTAAAAATGCTAGAATTGTTTGATTTCTTTTGTTCCAAAGTCACAATACATTTTTGTGGTGGAAGCTGTTGATAGTTGTTGGAAAAGTCATTTAGCTAAAGGGAGATTCCATGTAGCGTGAGATGGATCAGATGGTGAATAATTAATTGGAAAAGCGTGGGAAGACAGCACAACAGAACTAGTCGCATTCTATTTACACTTTCGATTTTTGATACTTAAGACTACCTACTTTATATAACGCTCTAAAGTCTGTGCGTTAATGTGTGTAAGTGATGTGTCCGACCGAAAATTCATAACTCCTGCCCCCGCGGACCTCGAATGTTCAAATCTGGTGGGGGTACAGGCGGCAGGATGAGAACACTCATGAAGGGTAGCAAAACTAACTTCCGCCCACAATGGGCGGGGTTTGAGCAGAAATCATAACTCCTGTCCCCGTGGACCCAGAAAGTTCAAAATCGCTAGGATAGTGTATGTTCTGGCTCCACAGGGAAATTTCGGAGCAATGAATGCACTCTTCGCATCGACACTTTGAATTTACTGCATTTATGAAAATGGCTGCTGCAACTAAACTAACATGAAGGGATTAATCATTATTCATGAGAAAATAAAAGATTCCATCTCAGTTCTAAATGTTGCTGCGAGAGCACTCAGCGGCGGTATCAGTAGATTGTACGCCCACATGCCTTCTAACACTTCACAAATTGCCAGGTATCAGGCGGTATTGAAGCTAATCCAGAATAATATTGGCCGCCTTCATTGCCAACATTACAACTGGGGCTCCAATTACAATCGCGACTATTCTTCAGGACACAACACACAACAAAAAAGGAATCCGTCAAGATCTCCGAGGTATCAAGGGAACCCGATCATAGCAATAAACTCTCAAAGGCTCCGATGATTGGCTCAGCAACTCTGTCTATCTTACACTATTTGAATAATGCTGAGTGAAACGCTGCACAGCCCTTCAGAATACTGTTGATACGTGATAGATTGAGTTAACGAGATTTGAACCTTGCTGCAGACCGATAATGTACACACAACATCAGGAAGCTCGTGTAGAAACGTTAAGCTTCAACGCGGATGAAATTCTGATTATTTTTATTTATTTATTTTGATTTATTTTGATGCACGCAAGGTGCGCTCTAACAAAACAGTGAAGTAAAACATCAACGACATAATAGAGTCAAACCTTACATCGGTTGGTCAAGATTTGTTCAGATTAATAAGAAGTAGCTAACTCAAGATCGGGCGAATGGAACTCAATAGGCGGATGGCGCTAGTAATAACTCCACTCCCAGAGAGCATGAAATATGTTTATATACATATATGGAATCTGAAACCGAATTTTCGGATGTTAGGTATTCCCTAGTCCTAACAATTCAGCTTAAGACCCGCCCTTATTTCAAATTGGCCTATGGCTACCTTCAAGATTCTCTCGAGATTTTGGTAGATAGTACCACATCACGATCATCGGTCTTAAGATCGCGTAAGGTACGCGTAAGGTACAAAAATTTAGAAGAACATTAACTTAATGTCGTAGATGTGAGATAAAAGGAAAAGCAAACAAAAAAACACAAAATAGAACAGTCAAAACAAAAAATACAAAAGACACATATCACTGTCTTCTCTCTGACTAGAACCATGCACATTTCTGAAAGGTGGGGATTGCTGGAAACAAGCTGATAATTATCGAAATTCTCAGAAGTCCGGGATGCCAAGTAGTAACAAAAGATTAATTTCTCTCAACTTTTTCTTGAAAACACCAACACTTTGAGATTCTTGGATCTCAAAGTGTTGGTGTATATCACAGTAGTAACGTCCGCAGAAGTGTATTTCGTCGGTTGTGCTTGTCTTGCCCCTTCCGTGCTTGCCTGTCTTGCCCCTTCCGATGGATAGCCTGCAAGCGAGCGAATCGGTCCTTGTGCTGAGCACAGCCAACTTGCTCCTTATGAGTACGAGATTAAGCTGTAGCTTGCAAAGCCATGCAGTTCGTTACCCTACCGCAGGTGTCCTGTACGGGGTCTTCTAAGCCTATGCCTGACGCAGCGTCTATCGTAAGCTGTTCTGACACTACGGCACGACATACGCATGATATTCAGATGTGTTAATTAAGATTTAACTATTTTTGGTAAAGGACGAAGTGTTCATAGTTGCGAATCTTCATCACTTTCGCGCTTCTTTTATGTATCACTTCTTGATGGAATCATTCAATAACATCCTAACCAATAAGTGTCAAGTTAACAGTAGTATTCCCCAGTGCAGCTCAGATGGCAAAGGATACCATCACCTATGTTCCATAAGTGATAAAAGGATGAAGTCTTTGGGGGTTGATCAGTCCCGTTTGAGTCAGAATCGTGGTGGCGTATAATGCATGTGGCCTGAACAACTTACCGAGGCCAGCCGATATACAAGTCAGTACTTCTATCCTCCCAGACAAATCTGGCACCAGTAAACCGACTCTGGAGGGATGGAAGGCTTGTTAACTTAGGCGCATATCGATCGGGATTCGAACCTGTGACCATGCGTGTGTGATAGTTCGTAATTCCCACTACACCTCCGTCCTCTTCGAATAATAACGTTAATAATTACAATAGTTGTAGATCAACTACAAAAAAAATCATGTAGCATCTCAACGCGGTGGGAATGGTCATCGGTACAAATGGCTGCGCAGGAACAATATTTGCCGTAGGGTAGCTTCTTGGTATCCCTAGCAGGGAGCAAGGGAGTAACCGAAGCCAAACAAACGGCACTACTTACGCCTCAGTCCTGCGCGCATCACATATGCTACCTTACGAGCGGGCTATACTCTGCTGATGCTGATAAGGGGCCATCTAACCTCACAAGTGAATCAAATCTCATCGGATCTTCAACCGTGGGAACTCCTTCACACCCCCCACCAAGTCAGCATTCGAACGCTTCATCTAAGTTGCCGGTTGGATGCGTCTTGCCTTTTCTCTTGCACTACAGCTGACCAAAGGCAAATCGGAAACTTTTCGAAAAATGGGCCACAACGACCTAATGAGACCCAAGGCGGACGGCACTGCCGGAGTTGTAATGCTGACCAACTCGATAATCGCCAATCTAGTAGACTCGCATAAATCCCAAGGGTGTCCTGTAGTGTTAGTGCCTCTACACTATGCTCAGACGACCCTTGCTCTTGCGGAGTCCCCTCAAAGCATGGGGCGTTCCGTCTTTCCTTGACCTACAACGCATCTCTACGTCCATAAACGTTAAACTCGTCCAAATAAGAGTAATAAAAGTAAGAAAATTAGTTCAAAAAATCCTCAAAATCCTCAAAAAACCTGTAGTCAGCTATATACAAAACGAATTTCGACGCGGTACCTAACTTCGTTGAGTACGACTCAACGAAGCCCCATTTGCTGTCAGCTCTCCAGGCTTCCATGACCGGCTCCTCTTCTATCACGTGGCCCTGGTTGAAGAATCGGCCTCGTACGCGGAGGCGATTGGCAATAGTTGACGAGAGGCATTAGAGAACAGTACATGGACGGCGAAAACGGAGGAAAGAAGAATGATAGACAGCAAAAGAACAGCGAACGAAGCCGAAATTCTAGTAAAGGGCGATGCTAGAGTTTACATCAAAACGACTTACCACCAACCATTCCCCTCGCTAACTGCCACTGACTTAAGGTGCTTTTCTCGGCAGGGCCAGTGCGCCTCCCCTACCTAGGACGACAAGACACGACAGTTTATGAAAACACTCGATTTCGTACTATTTCAACAGCTCAACTAGAACTGCTACTATTAAAACCGTATGCTACAAAACAAATAGTCGATCAAACTGAGAATTCTTTCCGCAGAAACAACGTTCATTGAACAGACACCATTAAACATTGAGCACATCTATCTATAAGATATGTGAATAGAGATTGTGATACCGGACGGTTATGGCGCTTAGCCTAGCACAGAATGATAAACTTCCACTATAAATCTAATTTCAACTAAACAAATACTCAATCGTTACCTATAACTTTCTAAAATTCGCCTAATCTTCTATTTTAATCACATTATGTTCTTTGTAAGTCAACTATTACGCAGTAAACATCAAGAAAACTAAAAAAGTGATATTGTCTTTTTGATCCTATGTGAAACAAATACAATCAAGTACTAAAACTAGGTGTTAACCCTAAAACAATGTGGCCCTCCTCATTTCAATTGAGCAAGCATGGCCGACGGGTGTTCCACGTAGAACTTCCACCTTAATTATTAATAATGGGACTGACAATTGTTCAAATAATGAGGTCCATCAAACCTATTGCTAAAGCGAGCCATTGTCGCGCCGTCGACAACACGGTGGTCAGCACACCATGATACTTTGAACATGTTCATCGGAACTAACTGAAATAACGATTCTTTGCAATGGCTCTTGAGTGAGTTGATAGGGGAGCAAGAATTTTTTTTCTTACTCACGTTGTCGTTGTGATCGTATCGAGGCAACTTCTCGACTTTTCCCAAAGCTCCAATTGCCACTTGAGGAGGGAAAATGACTGGACTGACATACGTTCCACCAATCTAAATGTTGTGAGTTCTCAAATGATTACTCTTCTAAAGCAAGTTAGTCGAGTTAACTCAAAAAAGCAATAAACAGGATCGAAATCAATTTACCGTTCCTATGTTACTAAGAGTGAATGTTCCACCAGTCAAATCATCACGAGCAATTCGCTCCCGCTTGCCGTCTTCTTGAAGCCGCTGGAGTTCGGCAGCAATTTCTAATATGGACCTACAATAAAACTTTCACATATTGCCGCTCAGCGTCCATACGTTTGTTTTCCAAAATAACTTGTATCAGTCCCGTTCGGTGCAAAAATTCAACAAAATCGAATAACTGGATATAACTATTAGTGTTAGTGATTCGATCTTCATTATTACGTGTTGTTTCGTATGTGCGGTCATTGGTCTATATGTTTGGATACCGAAAAATTCGGTAATATCGGAACACATGCATGAAGAGGTCGGGTCATGTTTGGTATGGGTGGGGTATAGGACAAGGTTAACGCTGCACGTCTGAGTTCCGCGTATGGATGGAGGAGAGGATATGCATCGCAATGGATGATGACTAAGATTCCACTTCTTAAATAAGAATCTAAATCGGTTCACCATGAGTGGCGCGCAACCAACAAGGTGTTGGTGTTCATTATTTCTAATTCTTGTTCTGTAGTGGCTTCAAACCGGGATGAACATAGCTGTCAGCTAACTTTCACGCTGACAAATAAACTTTCACTGAACTGTGCGTATTAACGAAATTTCTTATTCAATAACTGGAAACAAACTAACATAAGATTGCATCAGTACTTTACGAATAGCACAGTTGCTTGTGAACTTCTTTCCGTGGAGTTACTCCTATGAGCAGTTGTTCCTTTTGCCGCCTTTTTACCCCTTGCTATTGACAACGTGTTACTTAGCTAGTAAAACAAATGATAAAGAAGTTGAAATCATACGTCGAGTTTTGTTACAAAAAAAAAACAAATGGGTCTTCCCTCCCTATAACTTCCCTAGTTTACCTTCCACCACAATGCCCGCGATGCTACCTATGCTTTTGGTAGGCTTAATCAAATCAGAGGTTAATGAAAAAAAACCTTCAAGTTAAAGGACTTGAACAACGATTGACAAATTCCTGTGGATATATAGTAGATGAAATCACAACTCAGAAAAAATAACAGATGAGTGTTGATACCTTTGTTCGCAGTTTTTGATGTTAGGCACAACAAGTCCACCAGGAGTATCCATAGCGAGGCAGATATTGTGAGAAGCCTAAACAACAACAGCGATGTTTATGTGCATAAAAATGAAGAAATATTGGAAGCGCACATACTTTGTAAATCACGTTTTCAAGTTTGTCATCAACGGATGCATTTAATGATGGATACTCCAAAAGTGCCAGTGAGACCGCCTGGAAACAAGAAACGGTAAGTTTTGGCTATGTGGTCGAATCAAAAAGCTTGCCTTGATGAAAAATGGCATGTAGCTAAGTTTTACATTCCGTTCCTTTGCGAGTTCTTTCAGCTCGTTACGAACGGCAATTAGTGCATCCGCACGAACCTTCAATTTGTATTTTCCAACATGACCCGGAATTAAACAGCACCAATGAACGAATGCAGAATTCTATGCTTTAAACCAAACCTCATCATCGTATCCGAAATGAGGGATTTTGAGCGCTTCTGTCATTGTCTTGATCATGGCGCGTGTGTACCCACGTATAGGAACAACGCGGTCCTCAGATAGAGGAGAAAACTGAATAGAGGTATGAAATAAATTAGTTGAAATGGTAAGATAATAGGTCGAACTCAATTAAAATTAGCAACGTGTTCGCACCGTTTTGGCTTGAGTTCCAATCGCAGGTGAATACCGAATATTTGTTGAACCAGAAGTATAGTCTGCAAGTTTCAGCGGATAGACATGAAGCAGAAACAAGAATGATGCATGCTCTCACCTTGTTCAACTTTACCAAGAAACTTCAAGACGTCTTCTTTCAACACTCTTCCATCTCTTCCGCTACCTTTGACTTGTTTCAGATCGACCTGAAGAAATCGCTATATATATACATGACAGCTACGGAAACAAACCAATAAATACGACCTGGGTCTTTAATCATTACTCATGCATAGGAAGGAAATGAGGTGAAAACGTAATGACGATCAGCTTGTCTTCATAAACGTTTTAAAAAATCCAACAGCACTCGTTCAAACCTTGTTCTCCATAGCAATTCTTCGGACTGCTGGAGTGGCCAGAACTTTTCCAAGTAGAGCATGTTCTGAACTATCAGAGACCGATGCTGCCTGAGGCGTAGCGACCGAAGGGGCTTCAGCTTTGACTGGAGTGGGTGCCTCTTTCCCATCTATAACGATAAAATTTACAAATTTATAGAAACTAGTTTTGATCGAGTTAGTGCCTACAGTGTGACCGCGGTGAAGGACAGCAATAATCTATACTATTGTACACTGCCGCAAATTTGAAAGTTGATAGCGGAAGGAACAGAAGTTTACCGTGAAGGCTAGAAAGTCCTCAAAACTACTCAACACAAACAACAACTTCAACACCGCACTAGAAGAAATGTTACTTTACAAAAAATTGCTAAACCTAAGAGAGCGAACTAACGAGAAAAGGTTAAAGGTATTAGAAGCTAAATCTGAAAGTTAGTCTAACAAACATTCCAGACCTGAAGATAAAGACGAGTCGTCATGTTATGCATGTTTCTGTCTTAGGATAGCCTATATCGTTAGTAAAGTATGTATTTATCTTTGGCTATCCGTAGGCGAGGCTAAATTTTGCGACCCCATATGGCGAATCGGGTATATTAGAATCCAGAAGCCACAAAAAGCTATAGAGAACAGTTGGAGCCATAAGATTTGCCTCTTTGCAGCTGCATGCATGGGTGTATGTGTGGTGAAGTAGTAGATAATTTGCATTCGAGTGTGGAAAACGCACACTGAGGGCGGTTCTAGCAAACAACATGTGAGTATCTACACATGCGCCGAAGACGATGGTGTAGATCAGCTTTATTCTCCTGAACCTAAACAGGGATCCAAGGCGGCAGCAACCGAGGAGGATGAGGAGGAGAGATGGTTCGCTCAGAGGACAGGCCGTAAAACATTAGGGCCAAACGAAGAACAACCAAAATGTAAAGTTGCGAAAACGCCTGCATCAGAAGACCTACGAATGAAGCCAGGAATATCAGAGGTGAGGTCATGAACGCTGCGATACAAAAAGATATCCCCCAATAAACGCCGTTTTAATACTGAGAAAATATTGCTCGAAATATGCGTTAGCAGAGTCGTCAACGGTGAATCTAACCTTGAAGTAGTTTGGAGAATACCAAACATTTTAAATATTCACCGATGTTGACCTCAAATTCGAGAATAACCAGAATGGCTGGAGTGCTTTATTCCGAGGTTGGAAGGACTAAAAAGTTATGGAATGAGAAAGGGGAAAGAGCGGTCGAGGGTCCCAGTCCGAGCAGGGTGTTTCTGTCCGAAAGTTTCTGAAAAAGAAAAAACAGAATGAGCAGGTTCGTGCCAATCCTTCAAAAGCCCACAGCACTACTTAGGCACACGACAGAGATGAATGGACGTGTTGCTGGTAGCCGCTCAAAAATGACGATTGGTATTAAGACAGGTGACAGGTGAGAAGATATACTTTTGCTTATAGAGCGAAAAGAGATTATACTTCATTTCCTATGGCTGTATTCTCATTTCTCTGATTACCTTTATCTCGATCAGCAGCAACGCCTTTTACCATCGCTATACAATTCATCGGAAAAACTGGTTTTTCGAAAGCGTAATCCGAACAAAACCATGCTTGAGCCGGGGCATGACCGAATTGCACTACGTTTTGATTTTAACAAAAAAAGTGAAGAGCTTCCAAGACAGATGCGGTTTCCGTTCTGATATGAAAATATCACTCGATTGATCACTGGATGTAATCTACTCCCTGAGGGTAATCACTGGATGCAACCTAGTCCATGAGGGTAACAGCCAAGATTGAGTCTCGTTGCTCAGTAAAAATCGCAGTTTGCAAGGAAAATGGCGGTTAGATTACAAGAGAACCCATATATGGCCGGAATTTCTGTTGGGAAATTAACAGTATACCTAATGCGATTGTGGGAAAAAACCCGACTACGGAAAGCTAGAAGGTGAACTGGCTGCATTCGCCATAATTAGTTTAGGAACCAAAATGGGACATTCAAAACAAAAAAAAANAAAAAAAAAGTAAGAAAATAGAATAAAGACTAAATTGAAAAGTAAACACTGTTGAACATGACCTTTACCAGCTTCTGCTTCTTTAACCCCTCCTTCAACTTCGAAATCTATCAACGGCTGCCCTACTCGCACTACTTCATTGACGTTATAATGTCTAAAAAGACGTGATTTCAACAACCACTCACGTTTTGATACCTGAATTCAGCTCAAAATTAGTGTTCTGGAATTGGGATATGAGAGGAAATACAGTTTTTTAACGATGCCATCAAAGCGACTAGTTATGGTTACTGCCGCTTTATCACTTTGGACTTCGCACAAGTTGTCAAACTGTGAAACTTTGTCACCAACTTTGACGTGCCTGAATTTTCATTTTGACCCATGCAAAGTTTGAGCCAAAAATTATGGTCACAGCATTGAAAACTCGCCATTCTTTTATCTGAACTTCTGCAATCCCTTCACCAATATCAAAAAGTTTAAACTGGATAATGGATTTGCTGGAATCAGCGGGTGGTTTAGGAGGGAGCGCTGGAGCAGGAGCTTCTTCGAGATGTTCTTTGACAGAATCTGTAAAACACTTATCTAGCTCCGCATGAACGCAGATTCTAGAAGCTGCTGTTTCCCGCCAGGTAGTAGAAATAAGAAAGCGAGAAGCGTTTCTAAAAAGGCAACTTTGGTCAAGCATTCTGAGTGCCGTGGTTCGCCTATGGGAGCAATACATATGATAAAAAGATCATCAGTAAGGTATAAATATTACAGTTCCCTTCTAGTCAAACCTAGTAGAATTAGGGGACAAGTTGGGAGCGCTCTGAGCAATGGTGAAGTAATCTCAAGGGAAATCAACCGAGCACACTGTTTTCAAGATAAGCCCATCAATCTAATTAAAACCCTCCAACGAACGCACTGCACTTGGAAAGAAATGCAATCACATTAAGCTGGGAACAAGACACTTTCCGACGCCTTCAACACAGTAGTCCTTCATTCTAAGTGAACGGTCATAGAAAAAATCTGAACGAACTTTGAAAGCACTTGATTTTGAAATTCGACATCACCTTTCTTAGGTTCCTGAGAGGATTCTTCAGCAACACTAGTATCGTCCACTTCAATTTCTAATAACGGTTGACCTACTCGGGCAACATCATCAACCTTGTAATGTCTGGAATTGTAGTTTGATTTTCTCTTCGCAAGCTAATATACAATGAATTACTTATGCAAACTTACAGTTTCTTGACAACGCCGTCATATCTGCTTGTTATTGTAACTGCTGCCTTATCACTTTGAACTTCACATAAGTTATCGAATTGTGAAACAGTATCGCCTTCTTTGACGTGCCTGAACCCTAACGATGATGACCATCTTTTAATCTAGATGGATCAACGGATACTAGTCGGACCAGACGACCTACCACTCCTTTATTTGCACCTCCGCTATCCCTTCTCCAATATCAGAAAGCTTAAATTGAACTGTAGGGAATAACATGCCTGAAATAGATCTATCTGAAGCTACGAAATCGTATGAAGCAGAACTGAAAACCTTTTAATAAAGTCAAGAACATTTCATGATACCGTTGGGAACCTACTGCAAAATTATAGAACGGAAGAGTTGCATAAAGCTCAAATGTGTTAAAGATAAGCTACGATCTCTCGCACATACGCTTCCTGCTCGAAGCGATGTGATGGGCTGAACTGCAGAAGTAGCGATTCTGCGATTCTTTTACGCAACTAATATACCGTAATGGATAACTAAAGTAGCTTAGGAGTATCTGGTAGAAGAAAAGTAATCATATTTTCGTTGATAAGAATGCTAATATGAGATCACTGAGTGCTTCCCTCACCTTCCTCTATAAATAATCTCGCATTACTAGTAATTAGAGCTTAATTACCGATTTACATAGTCGTGAATAACCCGATTTGAATCATAAAAAACCAGCAGGCGGAACAAATTACAGGGTCACATCCGTACCCTCATTCATTGCGATTGCGCGACAATTAGAAAAGTATAGAGCTTTTTTGATTAAAAGTAATAAATCCCATATTTTCATCGAAAATGTAACAGCAACTCACTTCGAGATAAATGAATATTGTGAACGCAAGATAAATGTGCAAGTGGACGAGATAATCGAAGAAATCGAGAAACAAGCATCTTCTACAGCAGATATAAACTAACGCTACCTCTGAAAAGAAAGATGTCATCAAACACAATATTGGAATCAGACGAACAGCAAAAATCACCGCATTGACCAAAACTACAAACAAAATGAGACTGCATCTGAGAGAAATGATCGCTTCCATGATAATATCATGAAACATTTCATTATCAGCGTACCGATTTCCTATGCATCACGCGAATATTCACAACACAAAAACCTCGCTGCTACTGAACTAACAGAAATGGTTTTTGGAAGTTTGGGAAAGATTTTGAGGTCAGAAAGGGACCTGAAGTAGAATCAAGTACTCGACACAAGCAAACGAAAGGGGCTAGAACCCTAAGGGAATGGCTGAATTGGAACAAAGCAACGGTTGGGACCTAGGTTTCCGATATTCGGAACGTACTGGAATAGAACCTAGACGGTTACTGAACGAAAAGAGAGTGTGCTGCAGTTGAGGATTCCTTAGTAGCCCTATGGGGGAGGGGGGCGGGTAGGAGGCGTCTTTAAGCCTGAAATTACTTTACCCGCATTGCTTCCCACCCATTTAGCGCCGCACACAGATGAACGCCTAACATTGAAGAATGAATTAGATGCAGAGAATGAGACATCTGGGTTATCAGACAGAGACATCTCAGACGACTCTTTCTGTGATGTCTCCGTCCTAATGGATGTTTTCTTTTCCTTTAGTTCTGTAGGGAGAATTGCGTTAACTACGTTAACTAAGAAGGAGCTCTGACTGCTACTACATTGGACTCTGCCGGAAACAATTAACCAACATCAACAAAACCACAGGCTAAATGGAGGATTGTTTCAGACCAAGCGCAACTTCAATACTATAACTTTCTGCGACATGGGAGGACTACATCGCTCAACTATTATATCTATATTACACTTCGAGGCAGTTATGCTCCTAAGGTGCATCGAAAGCATAAAAGCTCGGCATCCATCAAAAATGATGCCGATCACACGATATATCGATTGAGCCCGCGCCAGCCGCCGCTGTCGCAACTGCGCGCAACTCGTCGCTCGTCGCCAATCGCTTAACAGAAGTATGATTGCACCCAGTCGCAATTATTCTATACCCCTACGGCTGGCTTTTAAACCGACAATACATTTTCAAAAAAAGCATGTGCGCCCTTCTAGGGCGTCTGAAGACCTTACAATCCCTTTCCTCAGCATACAGACATCCAGTAAGATTCTGCAGGGTCAAACGCAAAACTCGCGGGCTGCAAAATCTGCTTTGTCGCAAACAAAACATTTCCTTCCACGGCTCAACCCTATTCGATTACACAAATCATCATAATCGAAAAGGAATAGGGACGGGGATGGTGAAGTAGCTAAGGAGGTTACCGTTGCACAACGCTCACTCGTTCGAGTCAGGACCCGTAGCGGGATTACTGTAAGACTAACATGCCACATGCTGGAGTTTCGTTTTTATGATTTCATCAACTACAGGGGCCGTAAGGTATCTCCTGTTCGTGGCTGGGACGCCCCGATTCTTGCCCTCACTCTCTGCTCTTCCCGAAAGCATCTATCTGCTCTCCCCGAGAGCATGCCTTACCGGGAAGGGGACCCTCCCCTGTTCGGGGGAGCATACCTTACGGCCCCAGGCCCCTTTCGAATTGGCATCAACATCCTTTTCCGTTAGGTATTTTATTACTTGTTATTTCTACGAATTATGCCTATGTTTCGTCGTTATGCGCAGTGACAAAGAAATCTTTTTTATCCTACATGTAGGACACGACATATCTGACTGACACATCCTTTCATTGCCACCGCGGCTCTTCTGTAAAATTTGATGCACACCGTTGAATAAGCTGTCTTTTAGCCCGCTCACATGACAAAATAAACTTCATGAAAACGGTGATAATCAACTAGCCATCCCATGAAACAAGCTAATGAACGAGTTGCAGCTCAGGCTATGCTACATAGGCCTGACCGTAAACAACGATGGGTGGTCTGTGATTTGTCCGCGTTTGATAGTTTTTTACAAGTAGTATGGTAGATGGTAAATAAATAGTATGCGGATACGTGGCAAACTCTAATAAACTGTACCACTCAGTATGCATACGGTTATCCCTAAAGCACTAACGACCAGTATCTTAATGGCTGATAAAACAGAAACAGCACGCGAAAGTAAATGCTTAAAATAAAATCAAAGATCTGCTGAGGCACCGAAAGGATGCAAAAACCACACAAAAAAAGTGAACCCAGAGTAAATAGCCGTCCTGCGTTGTGTACGTAACGGAACGCACAACGCTGGACAGTCGTCGTACGACACGACAGTAGTATTCGGTCGTCTTCGGTTGAAGCGGACATGGATTGGTCAGCTTCTTATCACATTTAGGCTCACTATGATGGTGTGTAAGGAAGAAGTTCCGACGGGACCTGATTCCCAAGGGACCTTTCTATTTGGTGATATGTTTATCGTAGTCCTGCAGCCAAATCAGTTGATGTTGCGGGAGGGCCATGTTGCACTTGTGTGAACACCTTGCTGCTTATTTCGGATAATCCTAACTTTGCTCACAACTCCCGTGACATCCAGTCATTACCAGACTTACAATTAGGATTCAGATAGGTGGACTTGGCGCACTGTTTCAAATGCGCGGTCACATTCGATTCGATTCGATTTACAGATCGATATCCGCCTTTGACAAACAGGCATTCGTCACCCCCGGCGTTGGTTAATTGGTGCCATATTTGTCCGGGAGAATAAAAACACTGACTTGTTCAACTGATCATTGTACAGGAAATGTACGCATGATATACGCCACTTTGATTCTGAATGGAAATCGAATGCGCGGGCGTATCCCTCGGAAGTGATTGATTGATGCCCCAAGGCTTTATATTTTATCCTTCTAGTTATGGAGAGGCTTTACACAGTAGCAGAGGAATACAAATTTGAATAACGACCAACGAAGCGTGGATAGAATAAATTCAATCACAATTCAGAAACGAAGCTAGAAGTTGGCGGTTAAATATGAGGTTTGGATTGTGCAAATATATATGCCACAGTTCAGAATCTAGACGTGAGCAGCTGTATGCATCAAAAAAGTATCCTGTAAATCTTGAAAAGATTGAAGTACGACATGGGATCATCACGAAAAACGACAATTAATTTTGTCGTTGTTGAAGAAAAAGGTAAATGTGGCTCATCGTCTTGCCTGCTAATTCAACAGACAAGCCATCTCGCGCACTACAGTGGCACGACGACTGGACGGTGGCGGTCTACTCGCCAGACGACCGTTACGTTGTGTTCCTTTGACCCTCGTGTATCGGCGAGACCATTTGGGGGTGTCAGGAGCATAGCGAATGGGCCGTAAGAAATGGAGTCGTGTGCTTTTTACGAGTGAGAGCAGATCCAATCTGAGTAGTGATTCTGAAGTCACCCTTATATGGCGAGAGGTAGAAACACGAAACTCTCTCAGAAGCTGTGGAACACGATCGTTCTGGTGATCGAGGTGTATTGGTATGGAGAGGCATCATGCTGCGTAGCCGTACTAACCTCCATGTCTCGCTCTGCGCGACCCTTTAACCTTTGATAACCTTTTCCTGTGATTGCCATCGTAAACCACTGATAGCTATGAAAATATTCGCTACCCACTGACCTTTGCATGTTTGTCCCCCGTATCGTCT